GAATAAGATAGATTAGTGGCTTTTAAAACTGTTACAGGATTCGTTGCACATATGAACTCAGTGAAGGACATTAAGAATATCTATGATAATTAAAGGTTCTCCCAGATCTTAAAAAACTGCAGTGGTGCTACTTCAAAGTCAAACTGTAGAGCTTGTGTTTTGTGATGTGTTCAAGAGAAACAGAATACTTAGGCAAGGATTAGATGGATTAAATCAAGTCCTTAAGATTTGCTCAAGTCTCAAGTAAGGGCCAGTGGACCAACACCTAATCTTAAAAAGGAAGACAGGGAATGAATGAGGCCCTAAATAGATTATTTGGAAGTATAAAATTGAGTGTAGTGTAGTGTCTCATGTTGGACACGATAGTAAAGTAGGCTGCCATGATTTATCTGCAAGCCCCTTTGTTACCCTCCTCCGGCCTAGCTTCTCTTTTATATTTGAGTGAAAGAGGTCTTTGCTGCTTTTCCTTCTTGGGCTGGGCACTGAGCATATATAGGCTACATTTTTCAGATTTTTGTTTTGTTAATCTGAACTAAAACACAAAAAGTTGAATTAAAAATAGAGTATTTTTACAATTTAAATATTTTAATTAACTTCTAGGTGTGGCTTCTGATTACAGTTAAGTCAAAATGCTTATTTGCACCACTTTATGTTGCCATAAAGTGATGCACACTTTTTGGCAGCATAAAGTGTGCATCACTTTTGTGTTGGAAGATTTCAGCTTACAAAATCTTGAAGATCACTTTGCATGTCTATTCTTTTATCTGTGCCAAGATTATACCAACCGCTTACTTCACTCATGGCGTCAGGTTAGCTACATAAAGGTCGACGAAACACAACCAGACAACAAAATAAAAATCCTTGTAGTATGGTAAAAAAAAAAAAATAATTGAAAAACAATTGAGAAAAAAAGACTCAAATTTATACCATAGATTATTTTCAGAAAAGTTTATCCTTGACCTTGATCCTTGAGGTTGAGGTAGCTGAGATTCAAACATGTCGAAGAGTTTTAGTAGATGCACCAATGGTATCAATTTGAAAAAGTTATGTTGCATCGTTCTCAATTTATCACATGTGAAAATCATGACTGAGGGGTTAAAAGTGCTGGAAACTGCAGTTCCTTCAGTGGCCACTTGAGGCAGGCTCAGAAAGTGAATGAGTACTCATAGACTCACATGTTAAAATGCCCCAATTTACAGCAGAAGCAAACATGTTTTCAAGTTAGTACAAAAATAGTTTTGGCTTCGGTGGATAGTTTGACATCAGCTGTTTAGCGAGTCAATTTGTTTTATAGTTCATTGGTCTGGATACAGACTTTTATGTCCCTTGTTTGTGTGGTTGGTTTCTGTTTGGTAGATTTGGTAGAAAAAAGAAACTGTGGTGGCAACCAAAACATCCATCATTGATATACAGACTGTGTTTGAGATTAATCAGAATAATGTTGCCTTTTATTAAGTTGCTGAGGATTGTTATGTTATCTTTTTAGGACTTAATGTGATTCTTCTGCTCTAAAGTGCAAATAGGAAAATTATGTAAAATATGAAGCAGCTTTTCATCGTGAGAAAACAGAGAGCCCTGTTATAGCAGATAAATGACTGAATCCACTATAAATAGCAGTTATTTCTTTTCTTTTTTTCTTTCTGAAGTCATTAATGCACTGCGCTGCTTTTGGTGCTTTTGAAGGGTTACCATAAAAACAGCATGGGAGCCCCGTCGAACACTGAATAACCAGGGCTGCTGTCCGCCAACTCAGAGCGAGCCTCATTTCAATATTCAAGCATCTCTTCAATCCATGTATCATTTCCCAAAGGCATTACACACTGCTGAATCAAAATTCAGATGTTTCTGTCAGCCTCATTTGAATATCATTTTAGATCATTCTCGCTGATGGATTGTGGTTTAAAATTTACAAAATGGCACCTGAACATTTCACTGACAAAGAAAAGCGAGCTAAACTCAGTGTGAACCGTGGTGTGCTTTAACGCTTTGTGCAACAATGCAAATGAGATCTGAACGTCATCCAATATTTCACAACTGCTGATAGAAAAAGTATCAACATTTTCCTTATTTATTGTCATGCTGGGTTAGTTATCTTGATACCACTTTAGACAAAGATGATTAGGTGGTTTGTCCAGAGTTGGAAAGAACATTTAACACATGTATGGATGTGTACATACCTATTAACGATGCTTGCAATAAGGACGTGAACATAAAGTGTTACCAAATGCATCTGGCAACCAAAAATCTAATCAGACAGTTAAGCGTTTAAAGGTTTTACTAAGTTCAAGAGTTGGGTTTTAGAGAGACGCACTGGAGTTTCTCAGATTAGATGATGGACAGTTGAGCGAGCAACGTGGTCCATCTTTTTTATACTTCACTTAAGGGCTATGTGGTCTGTGATGGTTGTACGTGACACTGTGATAGGTAGTGAATGTAGGGAGCAGTGGAAGAGGAGAGCTTTTCTGGAAAGAAAAGGAATGAAAATCAGTAAAAGTAAGACAAAATACTGAATGAAGAGGGAGACAGTTTGAAAGTGGATGGAGTAGAAGGTGAATGAGTTTAAATCCCTGGATTCAATTATCAAAAGCAACAGACAGTGCACAAGAGAGGTGAAGAAGAGAGTCCAGGCAGGATGGAGTGGGTGGAGACGAGTGTCAGAGGTGATTTATGACAAAAGGATAGTACAGGAGGGAAATAGAAGGCAGAGTTGAAATGGTTAGGATTTCGACCAAGATTAGAAATCAGTGCATCAGAGGGACAGCTCAGGTTGAGTGTTTTGGAGACAAAGTTAGAGGTGACTCTAAGATAGTTTGGACATGTGCAGAGGAGGGATATTGGATATACTGGACAAAGGATGTTGAAGATGAAGCTGCCAGGCAGGAGGAAAAGAGGAAGACCTCAGAGGAGGTTTGTGGATGTCATGAAGGAGAACATGCAGAGGGTTGGTGTGACAGAGCAGGATGCTAGGAATAGGGTGAGATGGAGACAGACAGTCCACTATGGTGATCCCTGCAGTTAAAGCCAAAAGAAGTAGTTTAGGTGGAGGCTACTTTCTGTAAATTAGAGGTATTATCATTATAAACACCTTTGTAAGCTTAGAAAAGCCTTGACAATGACTACTGTTAATCTCTAAAGAAGTCATATTGTACCAACTTATACCTGCATGTTGAAAAATAGCGCTTAAGTAGTACCCTGTGTGTGTAATCTCAGTGATAACTTTAGAGGACTGCTTTCTGGAAACAGAAATGAGGCTCCTGATAGATTGCAGAAACACTTTAATGGCCGTTTGACACAGAGACGTCAAATCCTGACAGCAACAGCAGCGCTGACTATTTCTCAAAGAAGTAAAAGCATGTTTCCTATAAACCGCTGCTAGAAAGGCACAAAGTGTGGATACTCACACATCAAAAACAGCCTTTTCTGCCAGAGTAAACACTCAGCTGCCAGCAGCGTAACATTAGTAGGTCTTCACTGATGTTACGATGTGTGTGTGTGCGTGTGTGTGTGTGTTTGCTTTGTGGCAACCCTCCAGTAAACAGTGCTAATGCATGATGCTAATGCTGTGTAAGCTTGTCAGTTGTTTTTGCTAATAGTCAAATATGTTTTTCTGCTTAAACTGTTTAAGTTCTTGTTTGGAAACTAAAGTGGAAATCAAAGAGCTGAACGAAACAAAATGAACATATTTATTGTTTTATTAATTAAATAGTCGAGACTCTTGCTTTCAGATGCCGAATGTGGCAAAAACTTTCCAGAAAAGCTGAAAATTGGAAGTGTACACAAAGATTGCCTGACTGGTGCCTTTAGCCTAATACTAATTAATGTCTTTGTGCCTGTTCCTTCTTCATAGCACAACAACAGCAAAATTATCAAAAGAATCTGATGGCACATCACTCAGTTTTTCTCTCTGTGTTAATATAAACAAGGTTTTGAAGGGTTACCATAAATTAATTAATTCTAGCAGGACATGATGTGAGCTCCAATCCTGGGAAATTGCCTCTTAACATCCATTTGTCAGATCGGTCAGGATATATCTGCAAGCTTCTTAGAAACCCACCTCTATCCCATCTCCAGTTTTCCATGTTTGCATGCAGAAGGATGAAGAGTAGGGATGCGCCAATCCATTTTTATGCCTAATATCCCTACGCACACCTTAGCTTTGTGTATCTGCCATTAAAATAGTGATGTAATACCTAAGCAGTGTGACACAAACAGAAAACAAAGACTGTCTGCCTTCAAAGTGAAAGTTGGGTGTTTTGAATCATGCTGGTTGCACCAATAAAGAACAACGTTCAGTGACGGTGAACACTTTAGTTCTGGTGTGCCGCACTTTTCCAAGTTCAGTAGCTAGTTGGCAAGTGTTTGCACACAGGATGGGTTTTTTTCTTGCAAACTAATGGCAACCAGAATGATCTTCCAGCATCCAAAGCAGATGGACATATGCAGCAATATGAATATGAAGCACTTCTGGACAGGAACGGCAAACCTTCTAGGAAAAGTGTTTATGAGATTATGACGGAGAAAACTGTCTGCGCGTTCTTTAATATTACATCTCCAGAGCAGAGTGACTTATAATTTTTTCTGACATTTCAAATGTAACAAATGTAAGAAAATAGCGTGTGCACTATGATGCATTCAGACATAGAAGGTGACCCCGATTTGTGCAATGTGCAGCATAAATAGTGTGTTTCTTGATGCTTCAGTGGTCAGTTTCTCCTTCTGCTCATAGAGGATTTTAAATAAAATTGTTTCCTTTTTCTTTCTTTCTTGCTCACTGTTCCAATTCATTGTTTTTATCCCTCTTGCCTCTTACTTTTCCCTCCCACTCCATCATTTCCTCCTATTCTGTTCATTTTCTTGCATTTTTCCTGTCGTTGGTCTCCCTCTGGTCCTCCCACTCCACTCCATTTCCCTCTTTCTAATTGTTTTTCTGACCTCTTTTTGTTTCTCCTTCACCCTCCTCTGTTTCCTTTTTTTACCCACCTGTCTCATCTCTCCATTAGGAGCTGGAGGAGCGTCTCCGCCACCATCACCATGCAGAGCTGCAGTCTCTCAGAGAGGCTCACCGCCAGAGCATCGAGACGCTCAAACAGCAGTCAGAACAAGAGCTTCAAACGCTCCGCTTTGAACTGGAGGATGAGGGCAAAGCCATGTTAGGTAAAGTGTGTGTGTGTGTGTGTGTGTTTGGTTGCTCTGTGTTTGTGTGTGGGTGCATACATAAAAACAGATTAACCCACCCATGAATTTTAAGTATATTTTGCCTTGATTGGAGAGTTTTTAGTCAGAGTCTGCACTGGTTTTTCAGTTTGAGCTGAAACTATAGAAAGAACAGAAGAATGTTTAAGTAGAACTGACAAGTATAAACACAAATATGAATATATTTGTGTTTATACTTGTAGGTTGAATATGAGACTATTGGCAGGACTTCAATTCAGCCATGAGATCCTCCCCCCTGTCTCGCTCTGTTTTCACACTGCCACATTAAGTGCTATTCCAGACTATATAAAGCTTTAAGTGGAAGTCATTTATGAAACCCTCAAACACACCCTGTGGCAGCTGATTTGTGTCTACATAAAGGAGACTTCACACACCTATGAATATGGATTCCTGGTGGTTATTTCAGAAGAATCCAAATGGAAAAAATCCAGCAGGGGCTAAACAGATTCATGTATTTCAGAAGAAAGTCTTGAGTGAAAGAAGATACTGGCAGTGAAGGACTTAAAGGGAAAATTAGGGCTGCCACATTTATTGTGGCTAATTTTTTATCCTCTATTATGTAACACAATTATTTTTCAAAAAATATATATTTTAAACTGGATTTCTCTGAAATGTAAATTCATTGTGAGCTTTAATTTGGCAAAAGGACCCAACACGTGTAAAATGTCACAGGGTCAGTGTCTCTAGTGAGATTACCAACTCCCGGTGCAACTCTCTCCTCCGGTCCCAGCGACCT